TTATCAAGAACATCCTAATGCATCTGGTTGCCACATTTCCCTAGTCTCTTACTGGCTGTTGACAGTTTCTCAGACATTTTGCTTTGGTGACCTTGAGAATTGTGAGAAATACGAGTCAGGCATTTTATGAAATGGGCTTTAACTGAGACTTGCCTCGTGAGTAGAGGAAGTCATGGATTTAAATAAAAGGAGCACTGTTGAGTTTGTGTGTTTGTTTTCCTTACAGTATATCCATGACACTTGCTATCAATGTGATTTATTGCTGTTGATGTTCTTGACCTTGGTCACCTGACTGGACAGAGTGTTTATCAGTCTTCTTAGCTCTGAAGAAATTCTTTTAGCCCCCCTTCTATATTTTTCACATTCAAAGGAAAGCACTATGTTCAGTTTGTCTTCAGCAAATGTTTTCTCTATGTAAATTATCTGTAATTTGTCTACATGGGGCACTTTATAACTCTTCACAATTTATTTAGCCATTCATTTGTGTATAGTTGTATAGGTGCATGAATATTTATTCTACATTCTGAATTATAATTCAGTATGACCTTATTTTATTCCTTATGTTGTTTAAATTTGGTCAGTGCTTTCCAGTGCCCCCATGTCCCTATGACAGGCTCTCATTATGAAGGTGTTTTGGATTTTCATAGTGTTTTAAAGATATCCCTTTAGCCATGGATAGTGCTCCATGCCCAGCTTGTAGACTCCTGGCTTCTGTGTTAGAATCAGCAGTTTCTCTAAGGCAGTGGTTCTCAGCCTGTGGGTCAAGATACTCTTGAGGATCACATATCAGATATCCTTCATATTAGATATTTACATCATGATTCATAATAGTAACAAAAATAAAGTTATGAAGTAGCAATGAAATGATTTTATGGTTGCGGGTCACCACAATATAACAAACTGTATTAAAAGGTCATGGCATTAGGAAGGTTGAGAACCACTGCTCCAAGATGTTCTTCTAAGGTAGCTTTTCTGTTGCCTTCTTTACTGTGACAGAATGGTTTCGTACGTATTTTTTTTCTTTCTCTACACTGTGTAATCTTGAACCTCACTTCATAAATGCAGAAGATGAGACCCAAAGAGAAATGGTTGACCCAAAGCTATGCCTATGCTTAGATGCCTATGATGATAGAAGCAGTTGTAATTCCTCTTGCCTTTGTGTGAGGAATAACAAACAAAAAGCCATCCTGGCTCTCCTTGGGAGGACTCTCCCCAGGATGATAGCAGCTGGTTCTTTTCCTCTGAACTTCATGCACAGTTCAGAGACCCCTCCCAAAGTGTGCCAGTTGTTTATGTGCTATCTTGTGTTTTCCCTGTTATGATTTCCAGAACAGATTGCTAGCTCCTCACTGGGCAAGGAAAATGTACCACAGTACAGGATTATCCAGATAAGAAACACCAGGCTACTATATCCTATCAAAACAGACTGTGGTGATCTGGGTTGGATTTAGTGCAAATATTAAAATCTGTGTGTCTCCTACCATGAGAGCCTAAGTCTCAATTGAATTGATATCACATTGTTATTATAGTTATTTGGCATTCACTAGATCTCCTCCTGGGCTGGGAACTTCTCAAAAATAAAGGTTATTCATGTTTCCAACTCTCCAGAGCCTGGTACAGGAGCTGACATGAGCCAAGCATCTAATTAATATACAGAGAATATCTAAAATAAGCTCCTGGTATCTAGACTAGCGACTGCCTGCTGGTTACTTGCACACAATTTTGACAGACTTTTCCACTAAGGTGGGCATGGCACAAGGTAATTCTACAAACACAAACCAGCAGCTGTGAGAACTCACTCTTGCTTGCTTGCAAAAAGTCTTAGGAAGGAATGAAGACATATGGTCATTGAGAAGAGAATAAGCAATAACAGACAAAGAAGAATCAGTAACAACTGGACTATATTAAGTATGTAATAAAAGATAGCCAAAATGGCAAAGCTTGTAGCCTTTCAGTAAGACCAAAAGAGATATGAGCCGACCATGGAGCAGAGACCTGGTGAGACTTGGTAGGTGGATTGTTTATAGGTTTAGAAGTCAGGGTGTAGAACAGGATGACTTATGTCCTAGACATACAAATATATGAAAACCCACCAGAGAAACTCACTGTGCATGCTGGAGAGGGGCCCAAAAGAAGACTGGATAAAGATGACCAGTTAGGTAATCATGTGTCCTCAGATCCCACTCTAGGGAACCCAGCAAGACAAACTCCTCCTCTTTACCTATTAGAAGACAAAACATTTTCTTTAATTTCTAGATAACAGTTCAAACAGGAGGGTCTCTGGCCGCTGGGATACCCAAAAAGTTGAAATCAAGAGTGAGGTGGAGAAATCAGAAGGTTTAATTTAAAGTCAGTCCAGTATAGGACAAATGCCCAACCTCCTTTCCCTCTTATATCCACATCTAGTGCAGGGGATATCCCTTGTGATACTGGGTTTCAGCTGGTTGCATGTGTTTCCACCCAGCTGTGTACTGTGTCAGCAACTGGAACATCTGTAGCACCTGACGATCTGTTTACCTGATATCAGGTAAAATGAGGGCTGCCCATTGAGTTACTCCAGCAAATTAGTTAAGAGCTGCCCTCCCACCAAGTCAGATCACCTCTTTGGTCTGTGTGACTCCCTTCCAGGCCCCAGCCAAAGCTTCAATCAAGGCCTTGTCTGTATACCTTCTCATACAACAGGGCTATGCATCACCAGTGCTTCCCAAACAGTTCCAACTGGCGATTAAACATTCAAACGCATGGCCTATGGGGGCCATTCTCATTCTAACTCACAAATATGTAGACATATTCCTTGGCTCAGCTGTAAAGAACACATACATCATCATAGTACAAACTAAGAATAATGCTTTACTCAAAGCTAAGTAGAGCCCACACCACTGGAGAAATTACGTGAATAACATCTGAAGTTGATAGCCCTGGAGATGGCAGAAAAGGACATGGTGAGCTACAGGGTGCAACATCCCTGAGGAAGCCTGCATCTGTATTGAAAGCTTTTGCAGGGATGAAAAGACCTGAATTGCTGCTCTTTGCTGTAAGTCTTGCAGATGTGACATTTACCTGCTCTGTTTCAATATAAGAATAAATAATATATTTTTAAACAGATACAATAATTTTAAATGTCAGCAGGATGGAGCCATTTGGTGTCGAAATGGCCTCTTGCATTCTGTAGTCACCAGAGGACAGAATGGTGTGAATAATGTTCATGCCAGTGACCCCAAGATATCAAGAAAAGATTACACTGTATTCTGCGAGTCTGCTTGAGAGAACTGGAGATGTGGGGAACTCTTCTCCATGAAAGCATCTGTGTGTTACAAATTCCAGCACAAACTATAGTCTTTGGCGTCTATCCCATACCTTGAAGTCCATATCCCACATCCAGAAGGACCAGGTTGATTGGACACAGTCTGACTCCTTGCTCTTGGCTTCCACATGAGTTCTGCAGATTGCTTTATGCCAATCCATCTGAGTCCCCATAGGTTTCCCTGGGTTCCCTGTCCTCCTAGGTCACCTTCTGGTGAGCTTGAGGGTAACAGTAGTGAGTGGGACAGTGCAAGAAACAGAAAAGAAGCAGAGAGGTCACACATTGGCTTGACTTGCAACTTCTCACTTGTTCTGATACATCAGAGGTCTTTGGGAATGCTTATGTGGCTGACATTTTCCTGGTTCCAGTCAGAAGCAGTCAGACAACAAAGGGACCCAGTTGCCATGTTAGGCTCTTCCCCTTGTTGTGTCCTCTCATGCCCTTTTCCTGGTAGCCTTTCTATTACAAGTAAACTGGAAGGTCATAAGAAAAAGCCATGGGCAAGAATGAAGCTCTTTGTTTAAACTCTGATGTAGCCAAGAGTCTATCTTCCAAGATGCCAGAATGTTTGAACAATTAATGCTAAAGTGTATAGTGTTTTGATATGTTGATAAAAAGAAACAGGCAAACAAAATGACTCATACTGTAAAAGTATTTTTCACTAAGCCTAACCACTGTGTTTGATTCTTGGAACCCACTTGGTGAGAGAAGAGAACTGACTTGCGTAAGTTGTCCACTGGCCTCCACATGTACACACAAACACACACACACACACACACACACACACACGTATATGAATTAATAAATCATAGAGAGCCAGCCTAGGCATAAAACTATAGGCAACTAAGGAATTCTGAGAGCAGGACAATAAGTCTCCCACAGGTAGGATCCCTGAAATTGGTTATTCAATACCAAATGAACAGCCCTGAAATCATATGTATATATGAATGATTGTTACCATGGTGACATTTTCTTGACATATAGTCATGCCTCCTTGCATATGTCCTTTTGAAGACTGACTGTGTACCAAGATAGCACAGAGTTTAATGGTTTCAACAGAGATTATGCATCCCATGAGGTTTAAGATCAGGCTTGTCCCAGAGAATTTATGTCATCCCATGTTCTGAATTTCATTCTAAAGTGAAAAGGTAGCATAGGTAGAGAGTAGCCGAGAGTATTTGAAAGAAAAAAGCTCTAGAAACTAGAAAAAGACAAACGGGCTGGCAGAGATCTACCTGGAGATGTCGTCTCTCCTAGGTTCTTTATGCATATGCTGTCAGCCTTCCACAGAGGATTCTACTGACTAGCAGGTATTCATCCTACCTTTCTGATATTACCTATGGAAGCTGCATGGTTCCTCTGGAGCAACTGTGGACTAGAAGAGACAGGGCTTAGAGGTGATCAGTTGCTCCTGTGCTCCAAGGCTAACTCTTATCCACATGAAGATACAAAAAAAGCTCAGCTATCTCTTATTCAGTTGTGTATGTGGAGAGGGGGAGTTTTAGAGGTTTGTCTTTTTGGAGGAAATCTATAGTGACTATGTGTACCCATTACCACACAACTGGACCTCTAAAGCAAAGATGGATCATCCAGGATATGGCTAAAGGCAGGTCAGCTCCTTGGAGATTGGGTATTACAGTTCCTTAATTATAGCAATCTGCCACCTTCATGCTCTTCTTCTATTTTCTTATTACAGGGAAATGCTCTATACTTCAAATCTGCCAGGAACGTGACAGTGAACATTCTCAATGACCAGACAAAAGTGCTGACTCAGCTGGTGACAGGTAAGAGGAGAACAAATAGACAAATGGCTGGTCTATCCACACCCAGACAAAGCAGACTATACTGTCTTGTGAAATATCGCATGAACCTGAACAAGGTAGTGATGGCTGTTTATGGTGTAGAAAAAGAAAATTCAGCTGTACCCTCTGATTCTATTAAAAGATACTGTCCTATCTGTTCACATGTTTTACTTACCAAGTGCCATGACACTTGTTTTTGTGGAAAAGTTGTTTTTAGTAGATTGTGGCCTCTAAACATGAGCCAACTGCCTCAATCAAGGAAAAAAAAACCCTCTTAAATTTTGTTCATTTTGGAGAATTTCATACATGTATACAATGAAGTGTGATCATATAACTCCCATTTCCTCCCTCCAACTCTCTCCAGCATAGCCTTTCCCAACTTAATGTCCTTTTATCTTAATAGCCTACTAATTCCAGTTAATGATGTCCATACAATCACAGGTCAAGGGCTATTCAGTAGGCTATGAAAAACTTACTAGTGGCCACATCCTCAAAAAAGAATGGTTTTCTCTCCCCCAGAAACTATCCACTGTCTGTAGCTCCTTGGTAAGGAGTGGGTCCTGGAGATTGTCTACCTCATCTACACTGAGATTTGGGATGTTCTGAGCTTATATAGTCTTGTGCAAGTAACCACAACTGCTAGGTTTGTGAAAGTGATAGCCCCATTAGGTCCAGAAGCCAGCATTTCACAGCACTACTCCCTTTTGTTCAGCTCTTATGTTATTGCGATCTCATCTTCTGCAAAGATGCCTGAGCCTTGGTGAAGCAGGAGTTAATATAGATATCTCATTTAGGACTGAGCACTCAGACTCATTCCTTAGCACTTTTTTGATGAGTAATGAATCTCTCCACTACTGGGTTTCCATGACAAAAAGAAGGTTCTCTGTCTAAGCACAAGAGCAATCTGGGTCTGTGGGCATAAGATAAATATTTAGAAGGCACTTTAATCGCATGACTGATCACATGACCCTACGTGCTACAATGCTGACCTACCAAGACATGCCTATGTATGCAGCAGTAACTCAACAGTTATGAGGTATCTAACTCCTTTCTGATTGGATGAGGCCTGTTTCCCAGGAAGTAATTTAATGACTGGTTCTGTAATCTGAGCCAAAAGCCCATGGCTTTGGAGGTCATAGGCCTTAAAATGGAAGTTGCCATTTTTAATTTGGGCAAATGGTCATGCTTTTCCTTTTCAACAGTAGAGGAAAGACCAGCTGTACTCAACAGAAGAAAGTAGAGGATGTTTACGGGGTGTGTGTGTGTGTGTGTGTGTGGTGTGTATGTGTATGCACGAGTGTGTGGTATATTTAAGTAAATGATTATATGTATATGTCCATATACGTATTTTCATGTGCCCATATGTGTGTATGAAGGGCAGATGTTGACATCAGTTAGCTCTCTCCATCACTCTCCACCTTATTTTTGGAACAGCATCACTCACTGAGCCAAAGGGTACCTTTTGGTTACACTGGCTAGCCAATTAATAATAAGAAAATTTTGATTATCTCTACCTACCTCTCTACCCCTCTTTCCCCCATCCTGCTAACACTATGGTTACAGTCACGGCTAGCATGTCCAGCTTTTACATGGGACTTGGCTATCCAAACTTAAGTCCTCAATGCCTGCACAGCAGGAATTTTACTATCTGAGCTATCTCCCCAGCTCCTGTAAAAGAGATTTTTAATGATAGTCTGAAGCCTCATCCTATTTGCTACACTTGCTGTCTTTGAGCGTAACTCAACTGCAAGCTGCAGATGTGTCCATGGGCTGTGCACGTGTGGTTGTTTTTAGTGCAGAAGATCTGTTCCTAACAGCTGTGGGAAATACCCATAAGGTTCTAAGCTTTGAATTGGAACAGTTTAAACAAGGATTGGATGTTCTTAAAAATGGCTCAACTAGTAAGCATGGGTCTCATAGACAACATCATGTGTTGAGCCGTATTATCAACGTACCCTCTGTAGGTTTACAAGAAGTGATAGACAGAGAGGCATTGTATATACCCCACAGAGAAAGGAAAAATTGTGTGTCTGTGTGAAAATTGTTAGAACTCCAGAAGAAAATGCCATTTGACTTCAGGGTGGAGAGAAAAGAATAAAGATGGATATTTTGAGAGGACAGTAACCTAAATACCACCCCCTAACATTACTGTTACTAGAATTTCCAGAGCCCTACTAACAACTGAATCAGAGGGAAGCAGGTGCCTTTGCACACAGAGCCCTGCTCCCCTTCCCTGAACAAAGCTGCAGTTGGGTATCAGGAGTGACATAGCCCTGAAGTGGACTGGTCATACACAGCTGAGAAGCTCCTGGGTCTGTGGAAATGCTGCCCAATAGAGCCTGTGATCCACAGACAGTTATAGCTAGCATCTGGATGGTAGGCTTTGTTTATATAACATCTGGCCTCCAATCACCAGTGCTAAATAATTAAATAAACAGCTCCAGTAAGCAGTGATTTAAGCAGCGTGTGTGAGAACTGCCTTCAGGAAGGAGATAAATCCAACCTCCAGCTCCCAGATCCCAAGGCTCAAAATGAACTGATCTAGCCTGTTGATGAGTTGCCATTTGTGGGAAATTAGGTTTACTTGAAAGACAGTTTTGATAAAGAAGAAAATGACCGTTACTCCTCTAAAGAGAACCTTCCTCCCTCTCTTCTCTTTTCTCTCTTCATCTTCCTTTTCCTTCAAACCTCCCCTCCCCCTCTCCATATCCATCTTCCCCTCCTCTTTCTTTCATCCCTCCTGCCTTCTTTACATCCTCCATCTATTCTCCCTATTCTTCTTCCTTCATATTTCCCTCTCCCTTACTCATCTCTTACCACTCTTCCTCTCTATTATGTTCCCGCTCTCTCTGCCCCCAACCACTGGATCCTCTGGTCTCCTCTTCCAATCTCTACCCTCTTCCTCTCTTTCTTCTCTTGCCTTCCAGTAGTCTTTGTCTTTTGATCTTGCATTCCTAAATTACTGCCTCTTAGGAGGTGGAAGACAGCAATCCTGACTCTTAAAATGAGGTGCATGAGAAATTAATGCTGGGGACAAAAGGTAAAACATAATGCCTTCTAATTCCTATTACATGGGATGTGCAATTCTACAAAGGAAATACCTCATGTCTCCCAAGCAATGCAGTCCCAAGGATACCAAAATGCCTATTTGCTTTGGAAATATCTCAAAAGTCCACCAGAAAGCCTGATGTTCCAAGTTCAGGTCATCTTTTTGCATGAGGCATTATTTTCAGAGGTAGAACTAAAATCAGGCCATCAATTCATTTTGCCTCACAATGTTGTTGATTGAATATCTTAGGACAATCCATCTTTGGAACCCTGGAACCTATGAGAAGAACAGCTTTAAGGGGAGAAAGGGTCCTAGTCCCAAAGGAAAATCTTTAATAATAATCACCAGGCCATTTTGTCTTCAGATTCCTTGTGGTCACAATACCTGCAACTTGAGGCCTTGCCTTCTCCTCCCAGTTGAGGAGAGGAGACTGAAGAGCCACTTCACACATAGTCTGCCACCCATAGAAAGGCATTAACCAAAGATGAGCTTCACCTCAGAAGTCATGTTTTTCTAGTCCCACACAGCTGTAGATTCACTGAGGGGCTTCCAGGATACATTCCAAGTTCACCAGCATTTCACTCTAGAGTCATCTTTAAAGATTCCAGCCATGCCCTGGGAATTTTGGCATCTCTAGGTAAAACCAACAAAGGACAAAGCTGTCTGCATCAACTAGCCAGTATTCACTATGAGGGCTTTGGCTAAATCTTTGTTTTGCTGTGTTTTATGTTGGCAACTAGTTTTGGCCCTTGAATTCTATTTCATATTTTATGGTTCTCTGAAAAGGAAGATAACTTAATTGTGTTTTGTATGCTCTGTTTGCTGTGGTCTCTTTCAGTATAACCCCTGATAAGTCTCACATACTGTTCCAGAGTCCAGAGTGAGCACAGACTACATCCAGGAAACCTGAAGCCGAGTCTGACAATCTTGCCAGGTTCATGGATGCAAAGATTAAGCATTTGTCTCCCACTGTCATACCTCCATATGACTAGATCTAGCATGGGCAAACTGCCCTGGCCCCATGTCCATCCTGAGATTGTTCATTCATTTATCATTAGTATATTGTCTCTTCATCTCTGATCTCCTTCCCTCCAAGCAGAGTTATCCTTCTAGAATTGATAAGAAATATAGATTTCACTTAAGATTTTAATGGCATCAATTAGATAGCTACATCTTAACTCACACGGGAATACTTACACTAAATCTTTTATACATTGCTGTTCTTCAAGATTTCCTTGAGTTCTTTGTCATCGACTTCTACATTACCTCTTCATCAGACATGGTATCTCCTGGATGTTCTGAGTGTGCTGAATCCAGCCCTCTCGCCTTCTTAAACAGGCAGATATCCTGTGTGTTCCATATAGCATTGTGAGAGCTGGATTCCACTCTCAGATTTTCCGTTGCTCCCACAGTGACCTTGAGGGAGCCCTGGGCTCACAATGATTATTCTTTTTCTGTGTAACCAGAGAAGATCATCTCCAGGGCTCACAATGCTTCTAAATTCTATATGATCTCTGCTGCTGCTTCAGTCTCTGGCTCATGAAAGTACCTTTCCTACACACCTTTTCATGTGAGAGGGTAAATATGAATGTTCTGACAGCAGAGGAGGAGGGCTGCTAAATGGTTGTAAGTGAATGAGCAAACTGTACAAAGAGACACACTATTAATAATGCTCAATACATTATAACCATCTCATTAGAAGAATCCAGATGGCAAAGATAAAGGCGACCACACTAAGAGAGAGGGTGGGCTTTTGGCTCTAAGCCCTATACTTGTGACAAAAATTAAAAAAAAAAATGTCATCCCAAATACATAAGGAATTGGTCTGGTTCTAGTAGCCAAGCCTCTGCCTAACCTTAAGTAATTTCCTAAAACATTTCTAGATTGGGTCCTTAAGGAACCGTGACAGATGGAGCCATCAAAACACATACATACAGACAGGGAGAATATATACACATATATGAAAACATTTGTGTATGAATGCATAAGTGCATATACATGCACGCACACACATCTCTAAACATACACAAAAGCACCAGCTTTCTCCAGATCTCAAGTCCCCCCCACACACATCCCTATCACAGGTGACATCAGTGTCTTTTGTTAATCCAACACCATTTTTGCCATTTTGCACAGCTCTTTCCCATTTCTAGATAAGAGTTTTTGGAAGAGCCAATCACAAAATTACTCCCACATCTTGAAAATACTTCATCTAAATCTTGCATACTTAGTGCCTACCTCCTCGTCCCCAAATAGCCAGAATGGACCTTAGATTCCACAGCAAGTCCTTACGGCAGGTTTTCGTTCCTATGCCAGTGTTTGTCTGTGACATGCTTTCTTGGCCCCTGCAATGGCTAACCCCTCCTCTCTGCAGGTACATTCCTGTTGGTCATCTCATATCAATTTATTTTAAACAGTGCTCTCTTGAAATTTTCCTAAGAGGAATCAAACAGACAACAATGTTGGAATACAATTGGGTTCCTTGGGAAGATATTGTCGACTTTACCTGAAAATTTTTCTAGACTCCGTTTGATCAGAGCTAGATTCAAATAAGTATGATCTTGCCCCTGGCTACTCAGATGCTTTCATGTAGACCAGCTTTTGGGAGTCACCTGAAACAAAGGTACTGGTGAAGCCCCAGCTCAGATAGTCTCTTGTCAGGACTTCAGAAATATTAACCAGTCTTGCTTTCTTGCTAAAACTCTGGAATTTTCTGATGCATTAATAAATTGGATCAAGATGGGAGAAGGCTCCATGGTTTAAAGCACTTGACTGTTCTTCCAAAGGTCTTAAATTCCATTCCCAGCAGCCACCTGGTGGCTCACTAACATCCGTAATAGGATCTAATGCCCAATCTTGGTGTGCATGAAGACAGAACATTCATATACATAAAATAAATGAATAAAGAAATTGAATCTGTATGAGTCTGACTCCATCAGGATACAGGTGCAGTGGGGCCAGAGCACTTACTTATACACTGATGTAGACAGTGTGTATTCAAGAACAGCATTTGATACCACAGAATAAACTCAGTGTACTTTTATTAAATTAATTCCTATTATAAAAGACTTAACAACTTGGAGGGGGATTGCTTATCATATATTATAGCCATTTCTGCTTGGAAATTATCTGTCTACTAAGAAGATATATTTGTCTCCATTTCAGCCATTAGGTCAGGGGTATAAATAGACATATTTCAACTGAACTTACAAGAGCCCTTCATGATATTTACAACTGACTGAAGATGGTTAGTTCCCACAAGGAACAATGATACTCTGAATCCCGACACTTTTGATCAAAAGCCCGAAATGTTTGACACTAATTTGAGGCTAGCAGTGAGAAATTTCATTCAAGCATGACTCTTTAAGAAGAATAAGGTGACCTCTAAAAACACATCCCAGGACCTTGTGATTAAAAGCAATTGGCAAGATGAGGTAGTCAAGACACTGATTTCCATGTCCAGCTTCAGACAACCAATCCATTTAACATTAAAATCAGACACAATCCCGTGGAGCACATATGTCTACAGAAAGCGTTTGTAGTGACATGTGACAAGGCTAATGTATTCTTCCTCTCTTTCTTTCTCTCTTTCTCTTTTAGGTCCGAAGGCTGTGGAAGCATATGGCAAAAGGTTTGAAGTAAAAACTGTTTCTGGAAAATTGCTCTTTTCTGCGGATGACAGTGAAGTGGTCGTGGGAGCCGAGAGATTGAGAGTCTTAGGTGAGGGATTTTTAAACATGCAATTGGCTGGATGATATCATCTACATTTTCAAGGGAAAATAACATGGTGCCATCTATTGAATGTTTGTGACTGTCCCCAATGAAAACATTAAAATTCTAACCCTCTAGTATGACAATGCTTGGAGACTTATACCTTTATCAGGTTATTTGTCCCTGAGGCTGGAGTTTTATCAGTAATGTGAAGTTCCTTATAAGGAAATGAAGAAGGTGGTTATTAGGTAGTTTGTGCTCCCTTCGCCCTCTGCCTCTTCTTCCCTCTCCCTGCTCTCCTCCCCTCTCCTCTCTTCATTTTCTTCCCACTCTCTCTTCTCTCCTCCTCTTCTCTCTTCCTCTTCTCCCATCCACCTTTACCTTTCTCTCCTTCCTCCCTCCTCTACATATGTGTCCGTTCACCTTTCCCTCCCTCCTCCCCTCCCCTCTTCATCTGTGTCCCTTGCCCTTTCTCTTTCCTTACATATAGAACTTCAAGGACAACTTAGTCTGTATCTAGAAGAGAGTCCTCTTCAGAAACCAACCAGAATGACACTGGGTCTTAAATTTCTAGGTTCCAAAACTGTAGGTGGAGGAGGTGAGTGTAGTTTTAAGCCATATAATCTCTAGATGCTATAGAAGCTCAAACACAAGCAAATTGTGTATCATTGTGTAAGTGAGGCCACTTTCCTAGGTTCTTTAGGTTGACCTGCTTGGACTCTGATTTCCCAAAGAGCCTTGCTCACACTGTGAAATTGTTTGGGTTAAGGTTTCAACTGTTATCTTTGGGTTCCAATGTGTGCTCATGTAAGGAAGTATTCATGTAGGACATGCTTTTCTCACAAACCAACAGCTGGATGCAGGTGAATTCTCAACCTGGTTGCAAATAAAAATAAAAAATCCAAGAAGGTTTTTTGAAGTTTGGCTTAAAGATCTAACCATAGTTAACTGAATCAGAAGCTCTGGTTCGTAGGTTTGAGAAGTCAATCTTCAATAGACTTACAATCCAGGAGTGATTGCACACATCTTTGTCCTCAGAACTCACAAGGCAGGAGGACTGTTGTAAAGCTGAAGCTATACAGTGAGCCCTAGGCCCCTCTGGGCTGCAGAGTAAGGCTCTGAATCATAAAATGAAATAAAGAAAGTTGGGGAAGCAGTGGAGGAGGAAAGACAGAATGAAAGGAAAGAATTTTCTTTTTTTTTTAAATTGGATATTCTGTTTACATTTCATATGTTATCCCCTTAACTCATTGTCCTGCTCCCACCCAGGAACCTCCTATCCCATCCTCCCTCCTCTTGCTTCTGTGAGGATGTGCCCCCACCTAAGCCCCACTCCCACCCCCCACCCTCAAATTCCCCAACACACGGCATCCAGCCTTCATGGGACCAAGGATCTCCTCTCCCATCTATACCTGACAGGACCATCCTCCCTTACATATACAGCTCTAGCCATGGGTCCCTCCCTAAGTACTCCCAGGCTGGTGGTTTAGACCCTGAGTGCTCTGGTTGGTTGGTATTGTTGCTTTCCTCATGGGGTCGCAAACCCTTTCAGCTCCTTCAGTCTTCACTGTAACTCCTCCATTGGGAAACCCTTGATCAGTTCAATGGTTACCTGTGAGCATCCGCCTCTGAATATCTCAAGCTCTGGCAGACCTCTAAGGACACAGCTATATCAGGCTCCTATCTACATGCACTTCTTGACTTCCACATCAGCATCTACCTTTGGTGACCTCACATGGGATGGATATTCAGGTGGAACAGTCTCCAGACGGCCCCTCCATCAGTTTCTGTCCTACACTTTGTCTCCATATTTGCTCCCTTGAGTATTTTGTTACTCCTAAGAAGGACTGAAGCACCCACACTTGCTCATCCTTCTTCATGAGCTTCATGTGGTCTGTGAGTTGAATCTTGTGTATTTCAAGCTTCTGGGCTAAAATCAAATAATCAGTGAGTGAATACCATGTGTGATTGGGTTACCTCACCCAGGATGATATTTTCTAGTTCCATCCATTTACCTAAGAATTTCTTGAATTCGTTGTTGTTAATAGCTGAGTAATACTCCATTGTGTAAATTACCACATTTTGTGTATCCATTCCTCTGTTGAAGGACATCTGGGTTCTTTCCAGCTTCTGGCTATTATAAATAAAGCTGCTATGAACATAGTTGAACATATGTCCTTGTTGTATGTTAGAGCATCTTCTTTGTATATCCCCAAGAGTGGTATAGCTGGATCCTCAGGTAATGCTATGTCCAATTTTCTGAGGAACCGCCAGACTGATTTCCCGAGTGATTGCATCATTGTGCAATCCCACCAACAATGGAGGAGTGTTCCTTTTTCTCCACACCCTCACCAGCATCTACTATCACCTGAGTTTTTGATCTTAGCCATTCTGACTGGTGTGAGGTGGAATCTCAGGGTTGTTTTGATTTGCATTTCCCTGATGACAAAGGATGCTGAACATTTCTTTAGGTGCTTCTTGGCCATTCAAGTTTCCTCAGTTAAGAATTCTTTGTTTAGCAATATACCCCATTTTTTAATAGGGTTATTTGGTTGTCTGGAGTCTAATTTCTTGAGTTCTTTGTATATATAGGATATTAGCCCTCTATCAGATGTGGCATTGGTAAAGATCTTTTCCCAATCTGTTGGTTACTGTTTAAGAATTTTCTTTTCATTTTTCATAAAGATTTATTTTTATTGGGGGAGTCAGTGTGGGTGTGTATGGGTGTGTGTTTCCTACATGTATATATGTGTACCATGTGTGTGCCTGGTGTCCTTGGAGGTCAGAAGAGGTCCTCTGATCCTCTAGAACTGGAGTTGTACATTTTTGTAAGTTGTCATGTGGGTGTTGGGAACTAAACTTAGGCCCTCTGTAAGAGCAGCAATTGCAATTAATGGCTGAGACATCTCTCCATTTCTCGTGTTTAGAAGTAAAGCTGAACAAATGTCTGTGTTCCTCCTGCAGAATTAATCAACTTGAGCACACAGTGTTTCCCAGTGAAAGGGACCAGTGTGGTGGTTTGAATCATACTACCTGAGTAGATCTAGCTTTTATTTGTGAATGTTGCACAGTGAGTTGTCTCGTTTGGGGCAGGTTACTGACATCATTGAGCCATTTTCTTTCTCTTCTCAACAAGGATAAGAATCCCCACAACCTGAAATTGTAGAGTTAACAAAGACTATATTCCAAGCTCTTCTCTCAGTATCCTCTGCAAAATGGCACTCCATCAGTGTGGCATGCCCCAGCTACTGTTGGTATAAACTGGTTTTCCTTCTTTTCTCCTTAAGATTCACTGATGCACAGAAGTTCAAAGCTTGAGCTCTAAGATTACTCCAGTAATATTTGTAACCCATATCTTTCCTATACTAGCTAAGAGACCTTAGGAACAAGGTATTTGACCACTCAGTACCTGTTGATTTGTGAAACTGCTATCACTGAAGTGCCTTCTTCCAAGCTTGATGGAAAGATTGAAGCGAAGTAGTCTGTATAGACTGGGTAAGTCGGCTAACATGCTAGGTGCTCAGCCAGGACCAGCCAGTTCTGAGTTACTATTACGAGCTCTTTTTATTATAAATTAGCATCTGTTCTCTATTCATTTGCTATTCATTTGTCCATTACATCTTATTTCAGCTCCATCTCTTAGGTGTTTGTTCCTTTCATTCTGCCCTCAGTAAGACTGTTAAGTGTGCTTGTCTATTTCTCTCCTCTCCTCTCCTCTCCTCTCCTCTCCTCTCCTCTCCTCTCCTCTCCTCTCTTCTCCTCTCTTCTTTTCTCTCTTCTCCTCTCCTCTCCTCTTTTCTCTCCACATCCCTTCCTCCTTCCCTTCCTCCCTCCTTCCATTTATATACACTCATTTATAAATTCCTTTTCTTATGTGGATATACCACTAGCCTCTCAAATATACTAGGTTTTGTATGACTATCATAAGATAAAATACACACACTGCTACTACTACTACTGCTCCTCAACCTTAGTCTTTAGAGTCTACTTGGGCCCCTGTCACTATGTCTTAATATGTCATCAGCTCAGCAGTCAGAAGATATAAGTAACCATCCTTAAGAGGCCAAATAGGAGTGACAACACAGAGCACATGGGTGCTGAGGTATAAGGCCAGTTCAGCTCCTGATCAGGCAGTTGCCTATAAAGTGATTCAGCTGCCTTTTCTTTTGGGGGCTTTGTGTTCACATCTGTAGAATGGGAACTACACACAGAATAGGTTTTCAAGCAGTCCCCTTTAACTAGCTGAAAATGAAAGCAAAGTTCAAATTTACATAGCCTCAATATGTATAACAGCTGAGAGATCAAGATTGCTTTGGAATGTGGGTGAGAGTTGAAAATAGATCAGACACTGGAGTATTATCTGAAGAGTTTGATTATTTCCACACGTGCGCCCTCTACAACTAAGCTATGTCAAGTTGACACTAAGAAGGTAAGCAACAGGTTTAAGCCAGATCTTGATAACAAATGTAGTCCCAAGTTACATTTAGGTCTTGGGAAGTTTGAATACCTGAGCACATCAAACTCTTTTTTAAAGCCTCCTCGATAGATGATTTTATTGTAAAAAGCCTGGGAGCTATTGGCTCTGGTCAGCACCACACAATGCACATTAGTATGTACATACTTTGAAATTGCATTATCCTGCTTTGGCCTCCCAAAGTACAAGCTAGGTTTGTGGTCATGCATGATCACACCTGGTTTCCTCTATCACTTACCTTGATCTTTCTCTTTGTGAGTAGACAGCATCTTCTCAACCATCTTGCAGGTGACAGAAATGGACTGAGCCATATGTGAGGAGAGCATAGTAGGACTTAGAGAGCCAGTTTCCCTGCCTGCTGTTTTATCTACAACGTGCACCACTTTAAACCATAGTCCTTTATTAACTCCTTTCATTATCCCTATTTTTTTTAAGGATTTGTTTATTTTTTATTTATATGAGTACACTGAAGCTGTCTTCACATACACCAGAAGAGGGCATCAGGTCCCATTACAGATGGTTGTGAGCTACCATG